ACCCAAACCCCTTCCCATTCACTCCCACTGTACACAATCCCAATGGACCCAAACCCCTTCCCATTCACTCCCATTGTACACAATCCCAATGGACCCAAACCCCTTCCCATTCACTCCCACTCTACACAATCCCAATGGACCCAAACCCCTTCCCATTCACTCCCACTGTACACAATCCCAATGGACCCAAACCCCTTACCATTCACTCCCACTCTACACCATCCCAATGGACCCACACCCCTTCCCATTGGACCCAAACCATTGCCTGTTTTACCCCTTTTTGAGCTCCAGTAAAGCACATTGAATAGGGCGGGTGACATTTTATTTCAGGGACGCTGGTTCTGGGGAAGGACGGAGGTGACCTTCCCGTGTGTAAATCCCCTGTCGCTCGAGTGCATGTTCCAACTGGCCTTGCTGGGTCCAGCACCCCCCATCCCCCCTTCCTGTAACCCAGCATCTCCCATGGCCAATCTACATTAAAATGTGCGTCCCTGGGCACTGGGGACAATTTAGCACGGCCAATCCACCCTGACCTGCACATCCCTGGGCACTATGGGGCAATTTAGCACGGCCAATCCACCCTAACCTGCACATCCCTGGACACTACGGGACAATTTAGCATGGCCAATCCACCCTAACCCGCACATCCCTGGGCACTACGGGACAATTTAGCACGGCCAATCCACCCTAACCCGCACATCCCTGGGCACTACGGGGCAATTTAGCATGGCCAATCAACCCTAGCCTGACTATGGGAGGAAACCAGAGCAAACCCAATACAGACACAGGGATAATGTGCAAATTCCCCACATCCGAGGGTGGAATTGAACCCGGGTCGCTGGCGCTGTGAGGCAGCAGTGCTAACCAGTGAGCCGTCTGACTGAAAGATAGCGGCCCCCACCCCGTCCCATCCCCCCAACAGTACATCATTCCCTCTGCACCGTGAGCTAGACTTGCCAGACCAGCTGAAGCACGGCATCACGGGAGCGGGTACGATGCCCACTTGAGGGCCTCCATCTGGCCTCGCCATAAGGACGCCCACCGAGGTAATAGCCTTGGAGCCCTCGCCCGTTACTAACCAATGGCGGTGGTGGAGGGTGGCTGCATTGGCGACGGCGGTGAGATCTCTCTCCCATCTTTCACAATCCCGTGTCCTTCTCTGTCAGTGGCCAATTGTGTCCCATTGTCGCGCTGTAAGACAAGAATCATAGAATCCCTACTATGTGGGAACAGGCCCTTTGGCCCAAAAAGCCCACACCGAACCTTAGAGCATCCCACGCAGACTCATCCAATCTAGGGGGCAATTTAACACGGCCAATCCACCCTAACCTGGATATCTTTGGACTGTGGGAGGAAACCAGAGCACCCGGAGGAAACCCGGAAGAGATGGCTGGATCACAGACACGTTCGGAGGAGGGCCGTGATTCTTACACATTAACAACGGGCCATGGCAACATTGTAGGAGGCAGCGTACAATTGCAAAAGGAATATGGTTGGAGGAAGTGAATGGGCAATGCTGTGGCTGGTAAAGTTTGCTGCCAGCGAGCATGAGGTTATCCATTTCGGAACAATGAGGTTAGACCAGGATAATTTCTAGATGATTTAAGGCTCGTCTTGTGAATGAATTTTTTAAAGTATCCCTCACTCAACCTTAACCGTCACAAGTAGACAGGGCAGTAAAGAGGGTGTATGGCACGCTTGCCTTCATTGGTCGGGGAATTGAGTACAAGAGTCAGGATGCCATGTTGCAGCTTTATGAGACTTTGGTTCGGCCGCACTTAGAGTATTGTGTTCAATTCTGGTCCCCACGTTCCAGGAAGGATGTGGAGAGGGTGTAGGAGAGGTTTACCAGGATGCTGCCTGGATTAGAGGGTAAGAGCTATAAGGAGAGGCTAGAAAAACTCGGGTTATTTTCTCTGGAGGCTGAGGGGAGACTTGATAGAAGTCTGTAAAATTACATAGATAGGGTTGACGGTCAGAATCTTTCTCCCCCAGAGTTGAAATGTCTAGGGGGCATGTATTTAAGGTGAGAGGGGGAAGTTCAAAGGAGATGTGAGGGGACATGTTTTTACACACAGGATGGTAGGGGTATGGAACGTGCTGCCAGGGGGTGGAGGTGGGGGCAAGTACATTAGGAGCATTTAAGGGGCTTTTAGATA